TATTATAATTTAATTTAAGTTTAATAATAAAATAATTTATTTTTGGTTTAATAATATATAATAATAATAATTAAATATTCTATTAGAACTCAATGATTATCCTAATTATATTTTTAAATTTTTTATATATAAAATGAGATGTTTATCTTGTATTTGATTATGTTTATCTGCAGATGTTTATACACACTTAACTTATTGTAATGTACATTTTGGCGCATTAATTTTTCTATTTTAGTTATACACACTTAACTTCTTGTAATGTATATTGTGGCCCCTTAACTTTTCTATTTTAGTTATAGACACTTAACTTCTTGTAATGTACATTTTGGCTCCTTAACTTTTCTATTTTAGTTTATAGACACTTAATTTCTGGTAATGTACATTTTGGCCCCTTAACTTTTCTATTTTAGTTATACACATTTAACTTCTTGTAATGTACATTTTGGCCTCTTAACTTTTCTATTTCAGTTATACACACTTAACTTCTTGTAATGTACATTTTGGCCCCTTAACTTTTCTATTTTAGATATACACAATTAACTTCTTGTAATGTACATTTTGGCCCTTTAATTTTTCTATTTTAATTATATACACTTAACTTCTTGTAATGTACATTTTGACCCCTCAATTCTTGTTCAATCTCTATTTGCATCCCTTACGTGTTTTTAACACAAGGAATAGAAACATTTGTTTTATTTTAATTATTTGTCTGTGTCGATATTATAATACGATTTTATGTGTTTTTAAGAAAGCAATAATGATTTTATTTTTGAAAAAAATATAAATTTGAAAAAAATATATCAATAATATCAAATCAACTATTTAAAAGTTCTCAATTTTTATGTAATTTCTTTAATTTGTTTTTTTAATTATAATTTAATTTAAGTTTAATAACGAAATAATTTATTTTTGGTGTTAATAATATAATTTTTTTATAAAGATAATAATTAAGTATTTTGTTAGAANTTTTATAAAGATAATAATTAAGTATTTTGTTAGAACTCAATGATTATCCTAATTATATTTTAGATTTTATATATTTAAAATGAGATGTTTATCCTGTATTTGATTATGTTTATCTACAGTTAGTTACACGAATTCAGCCATGGAACTTTAATAAGTTGTACTTACGCACAATCTACTTGCAATCTTGAGATTAGATGAATGATTGAGATTGATTCATATGATTTCTAATAATTTATTTGTTTTATAATAAACGACCTCTCTCTGTATAAAAAGTTATAATCGGCCACCAAATATGGGACTTTACCTTGACGGATCAATGACATTAAATATTATAAATACAAAAAGAAAATCAAAAAATATTATAAAATTTGTTTCAATTTACAGTTTTTTTATAAAAGGAATCAATAATTGGAGTGGCATAAAGAGTACTTGACATTAAACGCAGAACAATCGATCTCAAAAAGTACTATGCAATCTCTTTAGTACGATTCTCATTTCTGTTCCAACCGTTGATGTGTGACATGTGACTTTCTATAGATCAGATCAAATAAACCCAGTATATCTCATTCAGGGTAACTTTCTCTAAACGAGATCAAACAATCACAACGTCTCGCATTCAAAGTAACTTTCTACAAACCCAGTATATCCCACCCACTTAGAGCGACTTTCTACAAACAAACTCAGTATATCTCATTCAGAGGCAAAAGTACTAAAATCTAAGATATTAGATACCAAAGATTAAAGTGTAACAACATATATATTAAATACAAACACTAATCCAGTCCCAGGAGAAAAATCACAAGTGTTTCAAAGGGAAGGAAACTGAAGAAATTAAATATTAGAATTTGAACAACAACCTGACTAGACCAGATTCAGAAAATGCCTGATGCACAGATTGTAACAAAAGAAGAAGAAGAGAGGCATAACATCTATTGGTAGAAGTGAAATACAAAAAGAAAAAGAAAAACACAAGTTGCCAAAACACTATATGCTTCCAATTAAAGCACCTGAGAGAGTAACTTCTTCCATGCAAATGCAACTTGGAACCCTTTTTTTTCTTGGCTGGAAAATTGAACTTACTTTCTGCTCTCACCACCAGTAGAAGATGTTGACCATACTTGGTGACAAATCCCACAAACTTTACAGCCTTCTGTTTTGCCCACAGACTTCAATTCAAGAATTCTTCAATTTCTCCTGGCATTTATCCAAGAAGATTCTAATAACATCAGAGGAGGCTTTCAAAGTGGTCTGAAAGATGCCAAACATATGGTAATCCAACAAAGAAACAGTTTTTACCCTATACCCCACTTGGAAGCGAAGGTAGTGTTTCTAAAATATCCCTGCTTTAAAACCAAACCAAACCCATTATATCCCAATTGGAAGTAGGGCCCGCCAACGCGTTAAGCGTTTCCCTACCCCTTTGATTAGTTATGGCTGCTTAATGATCGATCATCTAGGCTTCAGAAAATAATAGAATTTTCTCAATACATGTTCCAATAGTAAACATATTTGTACATTTAAATAAAAGACTTTTACATCTGCTTAATGAGAAAAGGTATATATAAAATACCTTAAAGTGCAGCTTTCCAGACTATATATAGCTCAGAAGGGGGCCTCAAGAGATTCATCCCACACATCTGCGCTACCATTGGAGGCATCCTCAGCATCTTCCTCCATTGAGAGCCTAATATACTCCCGATGTGCAAACCGGTCCCATTCTGTCAAAGTTGGATTCTCACGCTCCTGCTCACAAAATTGTATACATAAATATGAGGTTGGTTTACAACTACTAGTTGCAAATGATTGCTGATCATCTACCTGACGAATGAGAAAAGGATCACGAGTTTCGAAAGCCATGAACTTGTTAAGGTTAAAAAGGATATTGAAAACACTGCCAGCAAGTTTGCTTCCTTTCATGTCACGTAGGGTAAAATACCCCTCATCCTGCAGGTAAGAATGAAAAAACAATATTAATATCCAATACCCATCTCATCTCCATGGGTAGGCATATCATATCGCTTTGATAACAGATAAATAACAAAGATGTCAGTATCACATGTACATTTAAAATCAAACAAGAAATTTTAATCAAGTATAGAGACCGTCAAAATAACAACCATACTAGAATGACTAATTGCTCAGATTAAAATCCAAATTTGAAATTTAATTAAGACTGAAACATTGTTATGCAAATGACGTCAAATATCTGAAAAATCATGAATATTCATCATGTCAGCTTCCTTAGAGTTAGCTTGTCACTTTGCTACCCCTAGAAAGCAGAAAGGAGAAGGCACAACAAGTATTCCTGACACTAAATCTTGCATACGGAAAAGCATTTATATAAGCCAATGGAACATAAAGGTCACTCTATGATACCTCATCTAAACCCAAAATGCAGAAAAAGGAAGATCAGAAACGAAAAGGAATCACCTTTGGCCCAATCATGTCAACGATCTGACACAATATGTCCTCGAAAAGAACAGGTTCTTGGGCCATGCATTCCATCCGATGCAACTGTTCCTCATAAAAGAATTGCATCTCATTCTTTGTAATAACACCGTTTCCATCCAAATCTATGCATTTGAACCTGAAATGGAACTCCATTCAAACTTAAGTCACTGATACAAAATAATATATGAAATTGCAAGAAAAGTTTATCCAACAATTTATGACGTAGAATAAAATTAAATTCTGGTTTTTTAAGATAGAGGCAATTCAACGAATATGAGAAATTTTGAAAGAGGTTAATATGTTTAGTAGATAAGTAATAACAACAATAGGTGCCTTTATTGAAAGTTGTCATGAGGTAGAATGCAGTTAAATTCAGGTTTTATTGTGCTTTACATTTAGGTCCCATGGGCCTGTTCCACGTACAACGTTCAAGGTTCTCCCTCAGCCAACAGTAGATAGTCTTTGAACTCCAAACACTTATATGCCTAATTGAAAGTTGTCATGAAGTTCGTACAACCATGTTAGCAAAGTTGTTAAAGGCTCAAGGCGCACTTAGGAGTAAAGGGATCCCACGGCCTAGGCGCAAGGCGCGGGCCTCAGGAATGTGAGGTGCATCTTATAAAAAGGTGTATATACACACACACACACAGTTGCACACAACTCAAATATGTTGCAAGTACAGGCCTCCAGTGCAGCAACCAACAGTACTTTGATAGAGGCAGAAGGGAGAAGGGTTTAAAGTGTGTGGCTGTGTGCCATGAGGAAGAAGTTTTAAGGTCTGGGTATTTATGGAGAAAGAGGCTTGAAGTTATAAGAACTGGCCAACTGGGTGTTTAATATTAGGATTTGATTTATTTCATCTATTTAATAACTCTAGGAGGTAAGAAGATGAGAAAACTTATTTAATATTAGGGTTTGAATAGGTATTTAACAACTCTTTATGAGGCGTGTGTATGCCCACAAGGCGCCTCAGCCAAGGTGCCGGGCCTTTGTGAGCCTCGTGAATAAGCCTAGCCTCGACTTTAAAAAAGCCCAAGACCTTGAGCCTTATGAGCCTCAGAGCCTAGGCGCGCCTGACTTTTAACAACTATGCATGTTAGATATTGCATGTCAATGACAGCATCTAGCCATCAGCAGACACATAGTGTTCCATATGTTGCTCTATTATATTTGTTTTTAGTTTGTTGTGTTCTGTCATGCTGCTTGCAGTCCCGACATCCAATTCAATTCAGTCCAGTTCTATTCCTGGGAACTTCTTCAAGCAATTGTTCTTCATCTTGAATCTCCATCCACTCTGTTTTTGTTTTTACCAATATCATGCGTTAGAGTGCAATGTCTCGGTGTAATTTTGCAATCTATTTTATCATCATTGACTCAATTAACTGTGATAACCGGGTCCTGATTATCACCCAAGGTAATTAATATGTGATTATCTGATTAAATGATTTCGTGATAGCATGATAAATTGTTATATTTGATCATGCTAGTGTGCGAAAATTTTATGTGCATAATGTGGATACATGTATGAGATTATGTGCATATGCAGAAATATATATATATATATATATATATATATATATGTGGGGGGGTGTGTGTGTGATTATACACACATGCATATTTTATGTGTGCATGATATGTATGGATGCATGCATGTGCATGAGAGATTTTGTGGGAAGAAGGGGCTGTTAGCCGACCTTCCATTCTTGGAAAGTATAAAAGGAGGGCTTAACCTCCATATTTTCTCTTCTTGCATTTGCTAAAAGTTGTGCGATTTAAAAGAGGAAAGATTGACCGGATTATTCTTGTAAAGAAGATTCAAGTGTCTGATTTCAAGAAGTTGAATCTCATTTGATTGCATAAGGTGAGTAGCTTCTAGAACTCCTTTGCATGAAGATTATTACTGGTTTCATATGAGTTTTTATTTGAATTTGGATAGAAATCAGTCTTTTGGCTCTAAGTGTTTATCCGGATATTAAACCGGACAAGGTTTGACCGGATTACTTTAAATCGGACAAAGGATGGACGAAGTATTGTCCGGACTATTTTAAATCGGACAAAGGTTAATCGATGTATTGTCCGGATTGTCTTAAATCGGTTAAGTGTTGATCGGGTTATGATTGGTAGGAAAAGTTATCTTTTTGAACTGAGAAGTAAGAATACGACCAAATGGTGGCCAGATTATTTTAAATCGGCTAAGTAATGAGCAGGGTATTGACCGGACATGTTATCCGGACAAAGATGGTTTATATTCCAAGTGATAAATCGTTCAAGCCTTATGCGGGGTATTGACCAGATTTATTATCCGGACAAAGTTGAAATTTGTTCAAGTGTTAAATCGGACAAAGCTTTGGCTGTGTTGTC